GGCACAGTTGGATAGGCCTTCTGTGCCATACTTTCCAAATCCTATGCCAGCTTTTGCAGGCTCTACCCTTTAGCACGGACTCTCGTCCTAAACCTAGCCCTGTGGACTTCGAACTGATTTTGAGTTCCATACCTGATTTACAGAGCAGCTACCAGTGATCTATAGTTGTGCTTGACGTCTGCTGACAACTGTCCCAGTATTTCCAGTGGTTGTCCCTTCAGACTCGTTGCCAGGTACACTGCTTTCTGCTCCTCTGTCCATCCATTCATTTCTGCCAGGAGCTCAAATTGTGCTCTATATGCTTCCCATGGTGCCTTCTCATCGAATACCTATGGCTTCCTTTGTAATAGATCATCCCTATTGCTGACACTCATGTCTGGAGTGTGATTTTTGACAGGACTGAAGATGTCTGCACTAGAGTTTAGCTGCAGGGTCTTCAAGAGGCTTCCTGTTGTTTGGGGCCGATTAGGTCCATGGTTAATATATCCTCCCTGTGTAAAAGACAGTAAATCATCCTTTAATGTATTTAAATGACTTTGAAATTTACTAATCTTTTCCATTTGTACTTCTTGCCACTGTTGTTGACTTTCCTGTAGTTGCTGCTGACTTTCTCGCAACTGTTGGAGACTTCCTTCATGTCTCTTTTCTCGTTCTTCTTATTTCCTTTCTTGTTCCTGTTGCCACTGTTGCAGGTTTTCTTGCCACTGCTGTTGTCTCTCTTCTTGTTTCTTTTCTCGTTTTTCTTGTTTCTTTTGCTGTTCTTGTATTGGTGCCATCAAATCTGCTAAGCTGTAGTTTGATTTGCCACTTCTTGTTTCCATCTTCTTTTTTTCTTTTCCGTCCCACTCTCTGACACGAATTTGTTAAGTATCTCGGGTGAATTTATCGAGATTGTGAATCGCTGTGGTTTGTAGGATGTATTATAAACGTTGTTGAGTTTACAGTGACGAGAAACGTACTGAAACTGGAATTACTGTGTACTAAAAGTTTGTATCGAGAAATAATAAACTGGTTTAATCAAGAAAGGACTTGTATAGCTGAAGTTCCTCGGAAATTAACAAACAAGCAGATAAACTTATCGTGACTACTGTTCGCTTTATCATACATTCATTTCCCTAGGCTTTCACTGCCAGGCTTATATTCTAAAAAAGAGGACGTCTCGAACAAACTCGGGCTTACTCGATAATTCATGATCATTCAAGAAATTTATCACGTGCTACCAGGGTCACGCGACTTCCGCTGTCGTAACAATACTTAATTCGCTACTCTAAGCTACAGCCAATTAGTTCAGTGAATTTACCTCATACGATGCTTCATTCTACCTTACTTATAACGGCGTTTATGTTGGTTTAGGTGATGTGACTAGTTTCTAGTGGTATTCTATACTTGCATCTTTATTTTCCTAATGCCGTGTTAGTGACTTGCTCGTGAACTAGGTGGTTGAAACATGTTAGTGATTCACTCACGAACTAGGTGGTTGAAACCCAATATATTATTAGCGCCCCTGGTCAAGAGATCTAACTTCCTTTCTCTAGTTTGAATTTTTTGTTATTACGAACACACATCCAAGGGACTCATTTTAGGTTCACAAAAAATAAGCTTTTCGTAGTAATATATAAATCTTTATTCTAAATCAGATCTTGTAGCGTTAATATAAAAGAACTGTTGATTTTTATATGTTATGTTTTAAGTGATTTTGATCCCTGCCAAATATTTATCATTAGACTGTATTAAAGTAAAATTTGAAGTTTTCTAATGATTTTATACCAAATTAAATTAACAGTGTTGTCTTGTTCCCAAGGTAGTATTAATGACAGAAACTATTAATAATGTCCTAATGATTCTACACGAAATTAACGAATAAGGTGTTTATACAGTGTTATCTTGATTTAGGCTCTCTTTAATGACAGAAATAGCCAATAATGTCCTAGTGATTTTATACTGAACTAGCCGGCTTCACACGGGTTATTAGGTTGATATATTTGAACAAGTGCATAAAAAAAAAATCGATTCAGTTTTAAACTTAAATCGTTTCTGAATAAAACACAAACCTCTTTAATCAACGGAAACTCTAAGTTAAGAAATCAACAAATATTTTTCCAGTTTTGTTTATTTGTTTCAAGTTAAGCACAAAGCTACATAATGGGCTATTTGTGCTCTGCCTACCACAGGTATCGAAACCCATATTCTAGCGCTGTAAGTCCGCAGACATACCGCTGTGCCACTGGGGAGCTTCCAGGTTTGTTGTTTATATGTTTCATTTTATACTTTCAGTACATAGACTAACAACAATATTAGATTACTAGCAGAAACCCGCAAAACATTTCCGGCCAAATTAGTATCTTTATCGTAACAGTACTTCTTTAAATATAACATTTATAGAACAATACAAAAGAATTGTAATCGTC